TCTGTTGTACTCACATGGGTACAACAGAATGAAACACTCGTCCTTCGCCATCCTCACAATCATTGCTATGTTTGAGCCCATTGTCGTAGCCACTGTGTCAATCCATCTTATCGAGGGTCTTCCTCTCTTTTGATGACCCTCTACTTTCCCAAGCATGATGTCCTTCTCCAGTGACTGGCCCTTCTGATAACATCTCCAAAGTATTGAATCCTCGCTTCTAAGGAGCATTCTGGCTGTGCTTCTTCCAAGACACATTTATTCATTCTTCTGGCAGTTCATGGTATATTCAGTATTCTTCACCAACACCATAATTCAAATGCATCAATTCTTCTTCAGTCTTCCTTATTCCTTGTCCAGCTTTCACATGCATATGAGGTGACTGAAAATAAGCATGGCTTGAGTCAGGTGTATATTAGTTCTCAAAGTGACATCTTTGCTTTTTAATACTTTAAAGAGGCCTTTTGTAGCAGATTTGCTCAATGCAGTATGTCATTTGATTTCTTGACTGCTGCTTCCATGGGCGTTAATTGTGGATCCAGGTAAAATGAAATCCTTGACAACATCTGTATTTTCTTCGTTTATCATGATGCTGCTTATTGGTCCAGTTGTGAGAATTTTTCTTTATCTTGCGGTGTAATCATATTGAAGGATGCAGTCTTTGATCTTCATCAGTAAGTGTTTCGTGTCCTCTTCGCTTTCAGCAAGCAAGGTTGTGTTATCTGCATATCGCAGGTTGTTAATGAGTCTTCCTCCAATCCTGATGCCATGTTCTTCTTCATGTAGTCCAGCTTCTTGGATTGTTTGCTCAACATGCAGATTGAATAAGTATGGTGAAAGGATACAACCCTGATACACACCTTTCCTGATTTTAAACCATGCGGTCTCCCCTTGTTCTGTTTGAATGACTACCTCTTGGTCTATGTACAGTTTCCACTTAAGCACATTTAGGTGTTCTGGAACTCCCATTCTTCGCAGTGTTATCCATAATTTGTTATGCTCCACACAGTCGAATGCCTTTGCACAGTCAGGAAAACACAGGTAAACATCTTTCTGGCATTCTTTCTTTCAACCAAGATCCATCTGACACCAGCAATGATATCCCTTGTTCTACATCCTTTTCTGAATCTGGCTTGAATTTCTGGCAGTTTCCTATTGATATACTGCTATAACCGTTTTTGAATTATGTTCAGCAAAATTTTACTTGCATGTGATATTAATGATACTGTTTGATAATTTCCACATCCTATTGGATCACCTTTCTTTGGAATGGGCATAAACATGGATCTCTTCCAGTAAGTCGGCCAGGTGGCTTTCTTCCAAATTTCTTGGCATAGATCAGTGAATGCTGGAGCATTGCATCCATTTGTTGAAACATCTCCATCGGTATTCCATCAATTCCTGGAGCCTTGTTTTTCACCAATGCCTTCAGTGCAGCTTGGACTTCTTCCTTCAATACTATTGATTCTTTATCATATGCTACCTCCATCACCAGCATGTTCAAGTCCATCAAGGAATGGTCTTGTAACTCCCATCAAATTATTGGGTGGGACTATATAAAAAAGATGCTTGTGGCCCACCAGGGGGGTTGGACAGCTTGCTAATAATGCAGACAAGGTGCATGGCACTGTTATGGGTGTGGGACTATGCAGATAAGTTATATGGAACCCTAACAAGGGGATTGTCAACTTTGCCATCCCACTAGGTTTAAAATGATACATACCAGAGGTGAAAAGCGGGGACCTCACTACCACCAAGAAGGAAGAGCTGGGAGTGGAGCACATCCTTTGGACCTGGGGTCACTGTGCTGAGAACCTCCTAGACCCAGGAGACAGAGAATTGTAACACTGGAGATAGCTCAATATGGCAAGAAGTGGCAGCAAGCACAGCAGAGAACTGGCAATAGCAGAACCAGGATACCAGCAGGAGATGGTGTGATGGGCTTCCTGGCCCACAGAGTGAGAAAGCTGAGCACCTTCAGGCGGGAGGCTTGCTGGTGGAGTGGGGTGCCTCAAGGCACTCGGTGGAGTTAGGCTTACCAACCCACAGAGCTAGAGAACTGAGCACCTTCTGGCCAAGGCTTACTTACAGAGTGGGATGCCTCTGGGCACTTATCGGTGGAGCTAAAGAGCTTTGTAACATTTGCCCAAGTAGAGGTAGAGGCCAGGCTGGCCCAAGAGGCCCAAGAGGCCAAGGGCCAGGGAGAGACCTGCCTGTGGGCATGACGAGAAGCCGTCCTGACCGAAGAACTGTATCCTGAGTGTTCCTGAGCCTGAATTGTAACTTGTTACTTCCCTGATGAACTCTATAGTCATGAGTATTGTTTGTGAGTTCTGTGTGGCCATTGCAATGAATTATCAAACCTAGAAGAGAAGTGGAGAGTACCGTGGGAGGGACAGCTCATGTCAGAATTGGTAAAAAGGTTGGAGAGAGGAGGTATGTCCGACCTCCGCTTCATAGGAATCAGCTTTGGGCCCTTGCTGATGGTGATCTCTTTCCCCTTTGTGTAGTTAGAGGAGGTCAGACACCCCCACCATGCCGTTTTTACAGACTTGAACAAGTACTTCACAGGAAAAAATATCCAAATGGCCAGTAAGCATAAGAAAAAATGTTCAATATTGTTAATCATCAGAGGCATGTAAACCACAAAAGAGCTACTATACACAGGCCAGCATGATGCAGCGTAATTTTAAAAAGACTAACAATATCAAATGTTAGTGAGATGTGGAGCAAAAGGAATACTTACACACCATTGTTGGGAATGTAAATCGGTAAAAACACTTTGGAAAAGGTATGACGTTATCTGCTAAAAGTGAACCAATACATTTCCCATGACTCAAAAAATCTAGTCTTAGGTATACACCCAACATAAACTCAGGCATAGGTACACTAAGAGACATGTACAAGAATGTTCAAAACAACGTTGTTCATAATTGCCCCCAAACTGGAAGCAACGCAAATGTCTATTCAACAGTACAATGGATAAACTATTACATAAACATGCAATGGGCTAGTATACAGGAATGAAGATTAACGAACTAAAGCTACAGGCTGCAAGTTGGTTGAATCTCATGTACATAATGTTGAGCTAAAGAGACCAGATGCCAAAGAATACATACTGTAAGATTTCATTTATATAAAGTTCAGAAATATGCATAACTAAATTATAGACGTTAAGAAAGTCCTTACCTTTAGAAAGGAGGAATATAGATAATAATTGAGATGGGCTCCTCAGGGCTGGCAGTGTTCCCTTTCTTGACTAGGTGGTAGCTACACCATGTTTTGTGCACTTTTCTATATGTATGTTAGTTTTCAATAAAAAGATTTAAGAAAAAATGAGTTGACATAAAGACAAGTATTAAAATAACAACACTGTATCCTTGGATGGATAGACAAGAAACTGGTAACAGTGATTGCCTGAGGTATGTTGAGTTACAGACTTCACTTTCACCACTCATCCTTTCATACTCTTTGAATATTTTTCTTGAGAATGAAAAAAATTTAAGTAGGTAATGAATGTGAAAGAGCTTTATAAATCATAAAGCAACATAAATATTAGGTTTTGTTTTGGTTTGGTGTTATTATCTACCAGCAACAAGAAATCAGACATTGAATCTTTGATTTTTAATGGTGAAGTTGAAATAAATAAATTTAATACATTTGAAGGTTGGTGGTTCAAGTCCACCTGGAGGCATCTACAAAGAATGGCCTGGAGATCTACTTCTGGAAAACCTTATGGAGCACATTTCTGCTTTGGCATACATGGAGTCGCCATGAGTGGCAGTCCACATGACAGCACCTGGTACTGGTACTGATATATGTTGGAATCAGAAATCAAACGCATTGCCCTTAAGTCAATTCTGACTCATAGCGACCCTATAGGACAGAGTAGAACTGCCCCTAGGGTTTCCCAGGCTGAAATCTGTATGGGAGCAGGCAGCAGATTGCAAGATGGGTTTGGTATAGTCAAGAGTCAATTTTTCCTTTAAAAATCACGCTTTGGAATATTTAATGACCCTGGAAAATACTCAGGCTAAATGAAAAAAACACAAATTGTATAGGTGTATAATTTCAATTTTGTGCAGTCCCTGTATGACCATGTGTATACGCAGAAAAGAGAAAGGAACCTACCACAATGCTTTGCCAGAGAGAGGGTTATGAAGTGTTAATTATATTTTTCGGGATAGTCCACATTATCTACAATGAACGTGCAAATGGTTAAGCGCTGGACTACTAACCAAAAGGTTGGTGGTTTAAACCCGCCCAGAAGCGCCTCCGAAGTAAGGCCTGTTTCTCAAAGGTCACAGCCTTGAAAACCCTATGGAGCCTTTCTCCACTGCACACACACAGTCTCCTAGAGCAGGAATCCACTAGGTGGCAACTAATAACATTTAGACAAAGAAAACAAGTCACGACTTATCCTTCCAATTTAGCCAGAAAGGATCTTTTTTAAAAGCTTCGAGAGTGATGTGTTGCAGGCGGGAGGAGAAAGGTGAGCAAGCGTGGGTAGTAAAAGAAAAGAAAGGAAACGGCCCGCGAATGGATTGACGACTATAAGGAGAGGCGAGAGAGGTCGACCTCCGTCATGCCTAGAGCGGCCACCAGGAGAAATAACTTCCGGGGCTGAGGTCTTTAGTCCTTTTCTCTTCCGCGGCGAGGAATGTGGGCTGCCTGCAACGTGAAGGTTCGGGATTGCTTGGCTGTCACTTCCGTCATTTTGAGACGGTGCTTGAGTTTGGGTGCAGTTATGGCAAAGAGCAAGTTCGAATATGTGCGGGACTTTGAGGCCGACGACACTTGCCTTGCGCACTGCTGGGTGGTAGTGCGGCTGGATGGCAGGAATTTTCATCGGTGAGCAACATCGGCTGTGTGCCGAATGGCGTGCGCCAACGCTTCCAGGGACCCCGCCACAAATTGTCGCAGCACTCGACTCACCGATACCAGGGTAACGCGGCAGCCAATGAGCGCGCGGCATTGAGTGTCACCCTGAGTGCAGGTGACAGCAGCGGATGGGCGTGGGCTGGCCAGGGTAGTTAAATGGGACATGGTGTGTCCCTGGTGAGGAACTGGCCTGGGGTGCCCGTGCTTAGTGGCCAGAGATCTGTTAGCAGGACTTGGTGGAAAAACTCAATCCCGGGGACAATTGTTCAGCTATTCTGTCAAGATATCTTTGAGCGCAAACTGTGGACAGCACTTTTCAGTATGTGCTTATTCCTCTATCAGTAACAGACCAAATGGACTGGATTCAGGGAGAAAAGAAAAAAAAAATGTAGCAGAAAGATGGGAATTTAGTTTTTTAAAAAAAGTACTGTTTTAATAATAATTATTATTGTGACTAACATTTATTGAGCATTTACTAGGAGCCAGGCACAACTGCATTTATCTTTCCCTAATCTTCAGGACAACCCAATGAGGTAAATACTCTTTATCCCTATTTCACAGAAAAGGGAATTATGGCTTAGTAGTTTTGTCCCTTTTCTTTTCACTTGGTCTGGGCAAGGAAAAACAAGAGTTCTTAAGGAAATGAATGAGCTGTGGGTAAGTGGAATGTCTGGGTTCCCAGCACTATTACAGTTATCTGACAGCCTTTGTGATCTGTGTTGTTAACGACAAGATCTCTTCCATCCATGCCATTTTCCCTCCTCTCTTTCCCCTGTGAAGGTTTGCTGAGAAGCACAACTTTGAAAAACCTAATGACAGCCGTGCCCTCCGCCTAATGACTAAATGTGCCCAGACTGTAATGAAAGAATTGGAGGATATTGTGATTGCATATGGACAGAGTGATGAGTACAGCTTTGTGTTCAAGAGGAAGAGTAATTGGTTTAAAAGAAGAGCCAGGTAATCCTCTCCATGGCCTAACTCATTTCTTCAGAATATTGTCTACCAGCATCTGGTTTTCTGCCTATCTTAATTGCAGGCTTACAGACTGCAGATAGGGTCTGCAGTATTTGCAAGTGCAGAGTATATATTTCCTGTTTAGACTGTTGTACTTCCTCTGACTTCTGAGCATGCAGTGTGTCTCTTTATCTGATTCTTTCCCCTCACTCCCCATCAGCTTAGCTTCTAGACTGATCTTGAATGTTAAGAGTAGAAATAGACCACAAGAATGTAATATTAGTAATTCATAGGTTGGCTTTAGATGGTGACAATCTCTACATGCATTGCAATATTGTTTAAACTTTCTTTTTAATAGTTTTTTTAGAGTAGTTTTGGGTTTACAGAAAAATTTTGCAGCAAGTACAGAGTTCTTACATACCTTCTCCCTGCTGCATATCATTTCTTCTAGAAACATCTTGCATTCCTGTGGTACATTTGTTACAACTAATACATTATTGATACATTAGTATTAACTAAAGTCGGTAGTTTACATTTGGGTTCACTCTTCATGTTGTACTGTCCTCTTGATTTTAACAAGATGCTTAATGTCATTGTCCACCATTACTGTATCATATAGAATAGTTTCACTCCCTAAAAATATCCTGTGCTCCGCCTATTCATCCCTCTCCTTCTTCCCCTTGGCCCTGGCAACCACTGATCTTTTCACTGTCTCTATAGTTTTGCTTTTTCCAGAGTGTCATATAGTTAGAATCATATACTGTATAGCTTCTTTCACTTAGCAGTGTCTATTAAAGGTTCCACCACATCTTTTTGTGGCTTAATAGCTTGTTTCTTTTTATTTGTGAATAATACTCCATTGTATAGATATACCTAGGATCCCTGGTGGTGCAGTGGTTAAGCCATCGGCTGCTAAGTAAAAGGCTGGAGTTTGAACCCAGCCACTCTGTAGGAGAGAAGTGTGGTAGTCTCCTTTCGTAAAGATTCCACAGCCTAGGAAATCCTATGAGGCAGTTCTCCTCTGTCCTATAGGGTTGCTATGAGTCGAAATTGACTCAACAGCAGTGGGTTTTGTTTTTTTTTTAATAGATGTACCACAATTTGTTTATCCATTCACCTGTTGAGGGACATTTTGGTTTTGCCTAAGCTGTTAATTAAGGAAGATATCAGCACAAAATACACATATCTGATGTTTTATTTGGCAATATTTGGAAACAAATTATATAATGAATTGGTATACTTTTAAAACAATGGTTCTCCTCCTTCCAAGACTAAAAAAACTCCTCTTGAACCATAAATTCACATCACATCCTACAGACAAAACTTTGGTATTAGTAAATTACTTACAGAACTAGAGTAGAAGCAGGCTGCATTTAAAATATGTAACTGAAATGTTAAAATCTTCTTGGCTAAATGCATTTTATCTCTTGGCTTATTGGGCAGTCTGTGTAAACTCTCTGTTGTACCCATAGGCCCCATCATGGTGTTCAATTAATATCACGTATTTTCTCTTTTCTTGCTCCGCTCAATGTGCCTTACGTTTGCAAGTAAGTTCATGACTCATGTGGCCTCCCAGTTCGCCTCCAGCTATGTGTTTTATTGGCGGGATTACTTTGAGGACCAGCCTCTTCTGTATCCCCCAGGCTTTGATGGAAGAGTCGTGGTGTATCCTACCAACCAGACCTTAAAGGACTACCTCAGCTGGCGGCAAGCAGATTGTAAGTAGCATCAAATAAACAAATGTAGTTAAACCACCAATTCCATACAGTGGAAGTGGTGATCTGTCATGTGCATGGGTTGGGCTCATAGGTGTGTTTTGTTTGATGAAGTACAGTATTTAAAAAATTCTATTAGTTAAAAATATTTGAAAAATTGGAACTTTTTTATTTTTTAAAAAAATCCCTATTTTCAACTTTTTTTTTTGAAAATCAAGATCTGGTAATACTGGATCTGCTTTCCCAGTTACTGTTGAACGAGGAGCCTGTTCAGTGGCTGCCTGCCCCTCTGTCTCTCTCACACACACAAACACACACACACAAGCCATTGTGCCACAGTCTCTACCACTCCCTGTTGTTCCCCTGGAGTCGTCCACTCCGCTTCACACATTTCTGTTCTTGCTGGCCTCAGTAGGTATTTGAGTAGTGACCCCTGCCTTATGTGACTGATGAAATGTTTGTGAGACTTATACTTGTTTGGTGTGTTTTGATTTTACCCGAAGAACTGGAAAAGAGATTGGAATAATGTAAATCATATAACTGATAGTTTCTAAGCTTAAACACAAGTTAACAGATTTGTGTAAAGCATACCTGAAGTGACATAATAAAACCGTTGATGTGGAAAACAAGTTTTTTTCTGCTTAACCCTTCCCCCCATTTTCCCTGTGTATAACTTTTAGTAAGTCACTAAATGTCTCTGAGGTCTCTTCTTAAAAGAAGAGGGGGTCAGGGCTCTGGTATTTTTTGAAGTGTAAGTATCAAAGATTCTGGATATATAAACAGTACTATTTTCTTCCCACAGGTCACATCAATAATCTTTATAATACAGTTTTCTGGGCACTTATACAACAGTCTGGACTAACACCAGTACAAGCCCAAGGGAGATTACAGGTATATGGATCTTGCTGCCTTAATACTTAGCTGGGGACCATTTTCTGTAGGCTCTCCCATATCATTTGACAGTTTTGCTTTGGAAAGATACACAGATCGTACTGGTAGCAGCCCTGCTGCTTGCTTGCTCTGTAACCCTGGGTGAGTTAGTTCTCTATGAGCCTGTTTCCTCAGCTGGAAAATGGAATTAATGGCACGGCCTCTGCGTTCCCACATGGTTAGCACTTGGCTGGAGCTGTTTATTAACTGCCCGATTTAGACAGAGCACGTACTCCTTTAGTATCAGTCCCCACCAGGTCTTCTCACTCTTTGCCGTTACCTGCGGGGCACCTGTTGTTTGGATTTACGACCCCTGTATATAGTTAAGAGTTCAGGCTCGGGGGTCAAATAACCATACTCAAATCATGCTTCTGTTTAATTTCATCCTTTCTACCTCAGATTCTTTACGGGTAAAATGTAGAAAATAATATTCCTACCTAATAGGTTTATGGTGAGAATTACATAGCATGATGCATGTAAAATGTATGAAGCACATTGTAAGTGCTCAGTACATCCTGGCTTTTATTATTAGGTAGCATTGTCACTTGTAGGATAACTGTAATTCTGAAATGAGATAATGTGTTGCAACAGCTCCTGATACAATTCCTGGTTCACTATAACTACTCAGTAAATAGCTGTCTTTACTAACAGTATTAATGATGAAGATGTATATATAGCAATAATAGGAATATAGGTGGATATATCTAGGCTTTGGAAGAATCAAGTTCAGATTTTGATGCTTCTTACTGGAAGAATAAGAACAACCTCAGGCAATTTGCATAATTTTTGTAAGCTTCAGTTTTGTCATCTCTAAAATGGAGGTAGTTGTGAGGCTCAAATAAGAAAATATACATAAAGTACCTAGTACATAATAGGTGCTCATTTATTTTTAGTTCCTCCCACTCCTTCACAGTCTTGACTTGTAAAGCCAGTTGTTTTCTGTCCAGGAGAATTTTAGTAATTTAAACATCTAGATAAGATTTGAACTGGTCTTAAAAATGTAGTATTACCCATAAGATATTTGATAAAACTCCTTCCACTTCTTGATTTTTTTTGTACAAGCTTAGATAGAGGATGGAATGCATAAGTGAGAGAACAAACATACAAAGCTTTTTATACCTGTTTTATTTCCTCAGGGAACTCTTGCAGCAGACAAGAATGAGATTTTGTTTTCCGAATTCAACATCAACTACAATAATGAGCCCCTGATGTATAGGAAAGGAACTGTGTTAATATGGCAGAAGGTAATGCTGTTATCTTCAAAGAAGAATGGAGGTCAGGGAAGAAGAAAGTCTGGGCCACCCTAGGCTTGGTCTGGCCTGCTACCTCTGCTGAGATGACCCCAGTTGCTAACAGATCCTTTCCAAAAGAGATGATACAGATTTTTATTTTAGATGCTCATTTTGTCAGTCAGTGTGAACTTAGGGGTCTGGAATCTCCCCTTTTTTAAGTAGAATCACAGAACTTTAGAATTAGTACACTTACTTTTTCTGTGTCATAGCGCTCCCCAGATCAAACAGAACCCATTTAAAAGGGTCCCGTGCAGATATGAAGACTTTTGCATTCATAGAACATTTAAAACACACTTTCTCCCACACTGGACAGTACTATTAAATGATCCATCCATCCCATGAATTTTTCTGCCTGAGGTGCCAAGAAATGTCATATATAGGGATTTTGTCACTTTCAGAAGGTTCATGAGCTTTCTCAGACATTTGTACTTACCTTAATATTCTGTAATAACTCCGTACATTTACCTAAACACTTAAATCTACCAGTATTCCCTCTCTGTAACAGCTCTTGGGCATTATGATTTCTCTAAGTTTATTTTCTTCCATGTAGAGTAGTTTTTTTCTAAATGAATGTTTTCCAGTATTAAGGGGTACCTTGTGAGTTATCCATTCCACTAACTACTTCAGCTATGTTATTAGTATTTTCAGAACACATTTGTTCTTTGGCACAGACTTGGATACTTCTTAATGCAGATGGGAGAGGAGAAGTGTCTTTAATTCTGTAGTTATTGCTAATGAGGATCATGGAATCCCTCCTTTGTTCCTAAGATCTCCTCTCAGAATATAGCAACATAACCTTGTAAAAGTATTTTAAAATTGTAAAGAAATTCATGCATGTTGAGATGTGTGTGTGTAACGCATGAATTTCCTTACAATTTTTTTAAAAATGCATATATTTATCGAGTATATAAAGTAAAAAAAATGAACTTTCCCCACACCTACCCCTTCTCTCCCAATCCCACTTGCCAGTTCACAATGTCCATACTTCAACTTTTTTATCTGTAGGTGAATGAAGTCATGACAAAAGAAGTTAAACTGCCAGCAGAAAGTAAAGGACAAAAGATGGCAGTGACCCGAACCAGGACCAAGCCAGTGCCCTTTCACTGTGATATTATCGGAGATGCTTTCTGGAAGGAACATCCAGAGATCCTTGATGAAGACAGCTGACCCTGTGCTTTTTGATCCTAGTGTGCCTGACCCTACAAGTCCCCCAAGTCTGCTTGCCTCAGGTGGCCCTCGCATCCCTGCCACCCAGGAGAGAGTGCTGAGAGGGACACGATTCGCTTTGAGAGGGGAACAGGGAAGAAAGGGATGGATGAGGGCGGTGTATCTTATTCTGCTCTAAGCAGAACACCTTTTGTGCACTGTTGGAACATGGTTCCTTCAGTAGAAGTGCATTTTTTAAAAACTGCGGTACTATTTTTATAAAGCATGAACTATTTTGTGCCTTGCAGAATGAATCGTTTTTAGGTTGTGGCATAAGTCTTAAAAACCTGTCAGCTCTTTTCATCTATATATAAGATGAGCCAAAACTTTATTCTTAACTAGAGAATTGAGTGGCCTTGAAAATCTCACCTTTCCCACCCATCCACTTGCATTTGTCTTTGGCAGACCTGGAGATAAATATGGGCTGATGCTTGCAAGATGCCACTGAGTTCAGGAATTCCAGGGAAGACACACACAAAGCAACTCTCCACGTTGCCAACTTTGGCTGAACAAATGAGTAGTAGTTTAGATGCCCTTCCGTACACATCCCAGTGGACTGATTTTGTGGGGTTGTGTTGTCAGCATGATGATCATCATCATTATCATCTTGCCAGAGGCATTGTTTCCAAGGCCACGTCTTTCTAGGAAGAAAGACAATTGAGTGTATATATGAGAGAAAGAAAACATGTTTGAGAACAAATGAACAGAAACATTCCCTGAGTTTTAAGAGAACTGGTTATGTCTCTATCCTCTACCACATTTTTTCAGTTTTAAAATCTGCTTCAGTGGGTTGGACTTCCTGAAAAAGATTCTCAACCACCCGCTGTATAATCAGAAAAATAACATTTGAATTCAAGAGCAGAGGGGTCCACACCCCTCTCGGACTCACAGGTGGCAGGTAGCAAGGGGGTCATAATGGCTCCTCCCATTGATGGACCAGTGGAGATGGGTGAAGAGCAGCAGAGAGCAGCAGCAGTAATTGCCTGCAGCCGAGCTGTTGGCCTCTGAAGAGAGGCGGCAGTGGGGATGGGTGGTGAGAGAACTCTCATTTCCTCTTGTCCTCATTTCAGAGGAAGAAAATCATTTGGCTCTATTAAGAATTAAGAGACAGCCCGTGTGCCAGTGCCTGTCTCACGTTGCAGAATTTACAGCCAAGAAGAAAATGTATTTTTGAAAGGGTGACGGCTGGCCTCATCCCTCACTAACTGACACCCCATCTGTCAGTGAAATTTTCTCTTCCCGTCCTCCCTACTCCACAGGAATAGGAGATAGGCTCATGTTTGGTAATTGCTAAACTCTTTAAGAATTAAAAAATAAAGGTTTCAGCTCCCTTGGCCTAATTTTTCTTTGTCTTATGCAAATGCAATGTGTGACTCTCTTGTGTATGCTTTTTGCTTAAACCAGGACACATCCCTTCATCAGAACAGTGGTTCATAGACTTCTGGATGCAAAGAAATTACTTGGAGTGCTTGTTTGAAGATTCAGAGTTCAGTAAAGAGTCAGAATTGACTAGACAGCAGCGGGTTTGGTTTGGTTTTGGTTAATCTGATTTTTAACCCCAGAGGCCTGTGGTTATTGATACACCACACTTCGGGCAGCCAGTCCCTCGGTATCTTGTGATAGGCCACACGAGGCAATAAGGGAAGCTATTGGGCAAATTTAATGCAATAGTAAGTAATCTGTAGCATATTAAAACAGGTACAGGTAAATAAGGCATTAAAGTACAAATTTCAAAACAAAACAACCCAAAGAAATCTTGCGCTTCCTGTGGGTGCTGTGTGATAACTACAAATACTTAATTTTGCCATAGGACATGGGAACGAGCACTTATTTGTTGACTTGCTGGCAGTTTTGCAGCTTTGAGTTTTTTGTTCAGGCAGGAGGTTTTGAACTATGAAGGACTATCCTGGGTTTAATAAACCTGCCATAACCAAACCTATTAGTAGTATTACTTGGGAGTGCTATTACTTGGAAGCCACTGCTGGACGTTGGAGGATGTATTCACTCTGGTGTATATTTCACCAAAACTAAGCCAGTTGCCATTAGCCGACTCTGACTCATGGATGGCAACCCTATGTGTGTAAGAGCAGAACTGCTCCATAGCATTTTCGAAAAGTCCTGGTGATCTGCTTCTCAAAGGTCACAGCAGAAGCAGATCACCAGGGTTTTTTTTCTGAGGTGCCTCTGGGTGGGTTCAAACTGCCAACCTTTAAGTTAGTAGTCAAATGCTTGTATATTTCACAGTTGTATATTAATTTTCAGCTTGATCTGTAAGGTACAGTGGTATTTTCTTGGGCTTCTTTTCCAAATCTTCAAACCAAAAACCAAACCCATTGCCATCGAGTTGATTCTGATTCATAGCAACCCTATAGGACAGAGTAGAACTGTCCCATAGGGTTTCCAAGCCTGTAATCTTTACAGAAGCAGACTGCCACACCTTTTTCCCACAGAGCGGCTGGTGGGTTCAAACCTTTTGGTTAGTAGCTGGGCCCTTAACCACTGCAGCACCAGGGCCCCTCCAAATCTTAAGGGAAACCTTAAAATACACACAAGAACAACAGTATAGCATTAATACTAGTTGACAGCAGTAGGCAGAGTTCTGAATGTGATTTGTGTGTCCCACAGGGTTTCCAAGGAGAGGCTGGTGGATTCAAACTGCCAAACTTTTGGTTAGCAGCCAAGCTGTTAACCGCTGTGTGGCCCATAGGCGACTGGAAACATCTTGGTTCTGCTGGATGAGGAGGTAATAGCTAGGCCTTCAGTGCAGAATAGCCTATCATTTTAATGTAGAAAAAGAATGTTTTGCTGAACTGAAGCTATAAAGTAACAAGTGGTACAACCAGGCCTTGTGAGTCCTCCATCATTCTGCCCCCCGGGACTTGGATGCTCATTTCCTCCAGTTTCTTAGCAACGCTTAGGAAATGAGTGATAATGAATTTCCTTTAGTACGAAGGTCTCTCCCTCTTGGTGCAAATTTCATTTTGCAGAGGAGGTGAGAAATGGAGGACTGGGATCCACGTATCTTTCATAGTTCCATTGTACACTTAACCAATATTAGCTAACATTCATAGAGCGTTTATTGTGTGCTCTGTATGCAATACCTTAATCCTTAGGGCAATCTTACGAGTTAAGTACTATTCCTATAGTACGCAAGTTTCAGATGAGAAAGTGAAGGACCAGAGAGGCTAAAGAATTCGCTCCCAAATTGTCCAGTGGAACCGGAATTTGAGCTAAGGTAGGCTAAACCCTGATCGTACTCAGCGTGAAAGCCGAATGGGACACGCCTTGCCCTCTTTCCTCCGCTTCCGGCCAGCTCAAACGAGAAATAGTGTGAGGCTTCGGAGCTCATCAGAATCACCGGGGGAGCTTGTTAAACTGCTCACCCAGGCTTCACTCCCAAAGAATCTGAGGTATTAAAAAGTACCCTAAGTGATTAATTATATAGGTGGAGAAACACTGCATTAAAATAGACTAAGCATCAGCCGACAGCGTTAACCTGTCGCTAGTGCACTGAGACCAGTGAGCTCCGGAGCCGCTCATCAAAGTCTGCCCAGTGGCAGAGCACGGGTAGATGCTGCCTCCAGGCGGCCGCGCCGGCGCAGTGCGACCGCGCGACGCGGCTGCGCAGTGCCGCCCTCTGGCGGCCCTGCTCCTTCTTCCCATCGGCCTCGGCTTGCGGGCCTTTCAAACATGGAGGAGCGGGAGAAGGGGGCGAGGTCGGCTCGCGCCGGGAGCCCTGCGCGCCCGCCCAGCCCGCGTCTGGATGTCAGCTCTGACAGCTTCGACCCGCTGCTCGCCCTGTACGCGCCCCGCCTGCCGCCCATCCCCT